CGCGGCTGCCAGTGAGGAGTTTTGTAGACTATGTGGATTTGTACTTAGGGGAGGGGGCAGGAAAGAAACGCGGGGGTAAAGGCAAGGGAAAGAAGAAAGGGAAAAAGAAAGGCTCGGATGTAGACAGCAGTGATGACTCAGATGCAGATGAAGGAGAAAAAGAAAACGGAATAGAACAAAAAGATGATGAAGATAAAGAAAATGAAACTCCACCAGAAAAACAAATCATCAAAATCCATGAAAAAATGCACAGATGGGAAGTTGTCATCAGCCAAACAGGTCAGTGCATGAACAACCGAGGCGGCAACCAAACACAGAAACTTTTTTAATATACACAGATAGAGCAACATGAATTGTGTATATGATAGAGACAGATGCAGGCCGCGAACCAGAAACAGAAACCGGAGACGGACACGGAGATGCAGATAGATAGATAGACAAAAGCACACACAGAAACAGAGGAGGGCTGGTTGCGTGCTGTTGATGCAGGTTATGTTGTGTGTGTACCTGAATTTCTGTTTGAAGTTGTTGTGGTGTACGTTCAGATGGCAGCTCATTCTCCCAGGTTTCCTTCGTCAATAGCATCTGCACAACCAAGGGCGGCCACCACGTGACCCACGTCATAGAGCCTCTGTTGGCGGCTCTGGTGAAGAAAGCGAATGCAAAAAACAAAGGAGGCATGGAGATTAAACCTCCCCACGTNTGTTGGCGGCTCTGGTGAAGAAAGCGAATGCAAAAAACAAAGGAGGCATGGAGATTAAACCTCCCCACGTTAAGTCCGTCTCTTCTCGCATCTTACCCCAGCTATGCGGCAGCAGAACACAGACAGATCTAGCTAGCTTACAGCTAGTTGAGGGTTCTCAGCAGCCTGTATCTAGCTGGCTAGCTGGCGCGCGTGCGTGCAGCTGCTTTGTGCCACTGTGTGCCACTCCCCTTTCTTCAGGCAACACCTTTGGGTGTTTGTTAAGTGTCTTATTGAGAACCCCGCGTTCGATTCACAGACTAAGGAAACCTTAACCACCACAGTATCCCGCTTCGGCAGCAAGTGCACTCTTTCTGAAAGAACAATTAACGCCGTCGCAAAATCCCCCATACTGGAGGGGGTACTCTTATGGGCTCAAACGAAGGCGCAGGTAGGCAGGCCTGTACAGCTGCCGTACATTCTGAGACAGGCGTGTTTGGTTGCCAGCTGTCTAGCTGTAACTGGTTAACCAGTGGAGCTAGTGATCTGGTGGTATGCATAGTGGTGTACGGGCAGGGGTCTGGGGTTCGCTTTGGTTTGATTCAGTTTCCTTCACTGCTGATGGATGTGCGTGTTTATTAGGTTGAACTGAGACGGCAAATGTCAGTAGGAAAGACAAAGGGCAGAGAACGGCTGACAGGCATTTCCAAGCTAGAGGATGCAAATGAAGCGGGTAAGTGCAGTTACTGTTTCCGTTTCTGTCTTATCCATACATACCTACCGTACGTGTCCTTCCCTCTTTCACGCAATACAGTTCAAACTGAGGGTGCACACAAGCATAGGAGGAAACGGCCCCTCGTGGCAGTGTGGCTTTAGCCGATGTTCAAGAGGTGCCTGCCTTGCCGCGTCCCGGGATGTATTGGCTGTGCAAGGAGCAGATTCTCCGTTACGCGTTCAACATCTGATTTCAGATTTCTCGTTGCCTGAAGCTATGTGTAGGAGAAGCACACGGAAATCGGGAAAAGGTTGTGCATTTTCTGTGCTGCGTGGCTATGCGCTGTGTATTCTGTCTCGCTTTCTTCTGCTCTGCAGGTGGCCGGTATGCCCAGGAGTGCACGCTGATCCTGACAGAGGGTGACAGTGCCAAAACTTCTTGTCTCGCGGGGCTTTCGGTTGTGGGGCGAGAGAAATACGGCGTGTTTCCTCTGAGGGTGGGTGGCTGTGGGGAGTGTGAGATGCTTGGGATTGATGATGTTTTCTTGTTTGACCCTGTGTTGACAATGCCGCGCTCACGCTGTCTGTGTCGAGTAGGGGGAATAAGAAAACATGTTTTTGTCCGAAGACTCCGCCGATTAGGTGTAGGAGAGGGTTGAGGGGAGTGATTCTCTGTATTGTATTGAGTGATTGCATCAAGTCTTGATGCCCATTGATGTCTACAACAGCTTGACCTAAGGTAGCTTTGCTGCGGTAGATGTGTGTTATCAGGGGAAGCTGCTGAACGTGCGGGAAGCATCCTTCAAGCAGTTGAAAGAAAATCGCGAAATCCAAAACATTTTGAGGATCCTTGGGCTTCAGATTAACGACAAAGTGCAAGATACCCGGGGTCTGCGCTACGGCTCGCTGATGATTATGACAGATCAAGTGCGTGTTTTCTTGCCTCTTGTACTTGTGTGCAGTTACGTTTTTGATGAGTGTTTTCCTCCTTGTATGAAGTATTTCAGTTTTACTAAGCCTCTTCGGTTCGCTCTGCTTGCAGGATTACGACGGATCGCACATAAAAGGGCTGCTCATTAACATGCTGCACCACTACTGGCCGCAATTGTTGCAGTGCAACCATTTCCTCACGGAGTTTGTTACGCCTATTGTCAAGGCAAGCTCATATTCGATAGTATATGCTTCTTAGAGAAAGCAGATGCATTGGGTGACGACCGGAAATGGGAGGTTTCGGTACCTAGTAGGGTTTGAACCTACATTAAAAACTTAGAAGGTTTTTATCTTTTCCAATTTAAGTGATAGGTTTTGTTAAATGATAGGTTTTGTTTTTCTCCCTTGTTTTGCAGGTTTCTAAGGGCTCAGTTGAAAAGGCATTTTTCACTCTTGTCGAATACGACATGTGGAGAAAGCAGGCGGGAAATCTTTCCGGGTGGAAAATAAAGTACTACAAAGTCAGTGATATCCAACCGTGTAATACAGTACATAACGGACAGCACAAAGCGCCGTACAAACATTAAATATTCATAAAGGAGACCGTGATTTTTATGCAGACTTCAGTTGATCATCACTCACTTTGTTGACTGGTTGCAGGGTTTGGGTACCTCGACAGATAGGGAGTTCAAGGATTATTTTCAGGCTCTTGATAAACACCGAATTAAGTTCCGATGGACAGGTGAGCAAAGCTTGCGAAGAATATTTGCTGGCTGCCCTTTTACCCCGTTGTTTTGTGTTTTTTCTCTGTGGTGTGAGAGGCCCCATGTTACACAGCCAATTCGTTGGGCTCTTCTCTAGGTTTTTTTTTTCGTTGCCCGTATTTTGGCATTTGGTTCGGGAGTTTATTCTGAATGCGTTGTTTTTCTTTAGGCAGTGGAGATGGGGAGCTAATTGACATGGCGTTTAGCAAGAAGCGGGCAGAGGACAGAAAGCGTTGGCTGCAGGGTTACAGAGAAGGAACCTTTGTTGACCATTCTATGCGAGAGTTGACGTTTTCAGATTTTGTAAATAAAGAACTGGTTCAGTTTTCGCGATATGACAATGAACGCTCCATCCCTCAGCTTGTAGACGGATGGAAAGTCGGGCAACGTAAAGTGCTGTTTGCGGTCTTCAAAAAAAACACAAAAGCCGAGATGAAAGTGGCGCAGCTTTCGGGATACGTTGCGGAGCAGAGCGCCTACCACCATGGAGAGCAGTCACTGCAGCAAACTATCATCACCATGGCGCAGCGGTTTGTAGGCAGCAACAACCTTAACTTTCTGGAGCCAGTAGGACAATTTGGCTCTCGAAAAGAAGGAGGAAAAGATGCCTCTGCCCCCCGTTACATCTTCACCAAGCTTGCACCCTACACGCGGCTTGTCTTCCCCGAGGCAGACGACCCTTTGCTTGAATACCTTTATGAAGAGGGACAGAAAATTGAACCCAAGTACTATGTACCCGTCATCCCAACTATACTTGTCAATGGCAGTGAAGGCATTGGTACGGGATGGTCTTCGTTTATTCCGAACTTCAATCCTAGGGATATTATCTCGAACTTAAAAAGGTCAGTCTTGCATACCGAGATAAAAGAGAATGCATATCTAACCCCCCCAACGGGCCTTTCCTGTTGCCTGTTCCCAGCTAAGCGGTTGATTGGACGGTTGTTGCTTCGCATGTTGGCTTGGGTGGTTTGCAGATTTATTGCGGGAGAGGAAATGGTTCGCATGAAGCCCTGGTATCGCGGGTTTAAAGGCATTATTGAGGAAAACGCAACAAAGACGGCGTTTGAAACCA